TACTTGAAAAAGATTTTGAAAACTTAAAAAGCGATTTTACACTATTCAAAAATAAGTACTTGAAAATTTTCATTAAACTTTAAGTTCAACTTTAAAAGTAGTGTATTGTAAAACAATATCAAAAGCAGTTCCAAATTGTTAAAAACAAGTACTTAAAATTTTAAATCCAACTTTAAAAAGTGATGAAAAGTACTTGGAAAAATTTTCAAAACTTAGAAAACTTTGATAAAAGTCTAAGAAAAATTAAAAAAAAAAATCCAATGATAACAAACAAGTACTTGAAATTTCCAATTCAATTTTAAAGTACTTGAAAAAATTTCAAAACTTGGAAATTTTCGAGAAAAATTTACCAAAAAATCCAATGTTAACAAACAAGTACTTGAAATTTCCAATTCAATTTTAAAGTACTTAAAAAATTTCAAAACTTGGAAATTTTCGAAAAAAATTTATCAAAAAATCCTATTTAAATAAGAAGTACTTGAAATTTTAAATCCAACTTTAAAAAGTGTTGAAAAGTACTTGGAAAAATTTTCAAAACTTAGAAAACTTCGATAAAAATCCCACAATTTTTTTTTTTAAAAATCCAATGTCAACAAACAAGTACTTGAAACTTCAAGTTCAATTTTAAAGTACTCGAAAAAATTTCAAAACTTGGAAATTTTCGAGAAAAATTTGGCAAAAAAAAACGCTTTTTCAAGAAAAAAATGCGATGTTAACAAAAAAGTACTTGAAACTTCAAATACAACTTTGAAGTATTGAAAAGTACTTGGAAAAATTTCCAAAAACTTGGAAAATTCTGATAAAAATCAAAAAAATTTCAAGTACTTAATTTTTTAAACAGTTTTAAAATTAGTTTTGAAATTTTTTAAAGTTTTCAAGATTTGTTTCAAGTACTTTTTGATAATTTTAAAGTTTTCAAGTACTTTTCAATATTTTAAAGTTTCAAAAAAATTATCAAGTACTTATTTTTGACAGATTTAATTCAGTTTTCAAGTACTTTTAATGAATACTTTTTTCTATTTTCAAGTACTTTTCAATACTTTGAAATTTCAAAAAAATGTTCAAGTACTTAATTTTTTAAACAGTTTTAAAATTAGTTTTGAAATTTTTTAAAGTTTCCAAAACTTGTTTCAAGTACTTTTTGTTAAGTTTAAAGTATATTTTCAAGTATTTTTCAATATTTTAAATTTAAAAAAAAATTTCAAGTACTTTTGAAAAAAAAATTCAATATTTTCAAGTACTTAATTTTTTAAACAGTTCTAAAATTTGTTTTGAAATTTTGTAAAGTTTTCAAAGCTTGTTCCAAGTATTTTTTTAACAAATTTAAACTTATTTTCAAGTACTTATCAATCTTTTAAAATTTAAAAAAAAATGTTCAAGTTCTTAATTTTTTGAACAGTTTTAAAATTATGTATTTTGAAATTTTTTAAAGTTTTCAAAATTTGTTTCAAGTATTTTTTAACAAATTTAAAGTTATTTTCAAGTAACTTTAAAGTTTCAAAAATTTTTAATTTAGTTTTGAAGTACTTTTCAATATTTTCAAGTATTTTTCAATACTTTAAAGTTTCAAAACTAATTTTAAAACTGTTCAAAAAATTAGGTACTTGAAAATATTGAAAAAAATCTTCAAAAGTACTTGAAAACTAAATTAAAACTGTCAAAAATATGTACTTGAAGAAACTTTTGAAACTTCAAGTTTCACTTTTAAGCATTGAAAAGTACTTGATAATAACTTTGAAGTTATAAAAATTTTACAAAAAAGTACTTGAAATTTTTTTTGGGAATCTCAATTTCATATTCAAAATATTGAAAAGTACTTGAAAGTAGAAAAAAATAATCATCAAAGTGTTGGAAAGTATTTGAAAACAAAACTTAAACTGTTCAAAAATAGGTACTTAATTTTTTTTTTGAAATTTCAAGTTCATCTTTAAAGTGCTGAGAAGTACTTTAAAACGACATTTGAAAACTTGAAAACCAATTTGGAACTGTCAAGAATAACTAGAATAAGTACTTGAAAACACTTTTGAAAAGTACTTGAAAATAATTTTCAAGTTGTTAAAAAATACTTGAAAAAGATTTTGAAAACTTAAAAAGCGATTTTACACTATTCAAAAATAAGTACTTGAAAATTTTCATTAAACTTTAAGTTCAACTTTAAAAGTAGTGTATTGTAAAACAATATCAAAAGCAGTTCCAAATTGTTAAAAACAAGTACTTAAAATTTTAAATCCAACTTTAAAAAGTGATGAAAAGTACTTGGAAAAATTTTCAAAACTTAGAAAACTTTGATAAAAGTCTAAGAAAAATTAAAAAAAAAAATCCAATGATAACAAACAAGTACTTGAAATTTCCAATTCAATTTTAAAGTACTTGAAAAAATTTCAAAACTTGGAAATTTTCGAGAAAAATTTACCAAAAAATCCAATGTTAACAAACAAGTACTTGAAATTTCCAATTCAATTTTAAAGTACTTAAAAAATTTCAAAACTTGGAAATTTTCGAAAAAAATTTATCAAAAAATCCTATTTAAATAAGAAGTACTTGAAATTTTAAATCCAACTTTAAAAAGTGTTGAAAAGTACTTGGAAAAATTTTCAAAACTTAGAAAACTTCGATAAAAATCCCACAATTTTTTTTTTTAAAAATCCAATGTCAACAAACAAGTACTTGAAACTTCAAGTTCAATTTTAAAGTACTCGAAAAAATTTCAAAACTTGGAAATTTTCGAGAAAAATTTGGCAAAAAAAAACGCTTTTTCAAGAAAAAAATGCGATGTTAACAAAAAAGTACTTGAAACTTCAAATATAACTTTGAATTATTGAAAAGTACTTGGAAAAATTTCCAAAAACTTGGAAAATTCTGATAAAAATCAAAAAAATTTCAAGTACTTAATTTTTTAAACAGTTTTAAAATTAGTTTTGAAATTTTTTAAAGTTTCCAAAACTTGTTTCAAGTACTTTTTGTTAAGTTTAAAGTATATTTTCAAGTATTTTTCAATATTTTAAATTAAAAAAAAAATTTCAAGTACTTTTGAAAAAAAAAATCAATAATTTCAAGTACTTAATTTTTTAAACAGTTCTAAAATTTGTTTTGAAATTTTGTAAAGTTTTTAAAGCTTGTTCCAAGTATTTTTTTAACAAATTTAAACTTATTTTCAAGTACTTATCAATCTTTTAAAATTTAAAAAAAAATGTTCAAGTTCTTAATTTTTTGAACAGTTTTAAAATTATGTATTTTGAAATTTTTTAAAGTTTTCAAAATTTGTTTCAAGTATTTTTTAACAAATTTAAAGTTATTTTCAAGTAACTTTAAAGTTTCAAAAATTTTTAATTTAGTTTTGAAGTACTTTTCAATATTTTCAAGTATTTTTCAATACTTTAAAGTTTCAAAACTAATTTTAAAACTGTTCAAAAAATTAGGTACTTGAAAATATTGAAAAAAATCTTCAAAAGTACTTGAAAACTAAATTAAAACTGTCAAAAATATGTACTTGAAGAAACTTTTGAAACTTCAAGTTTCACTTTTAAGCATTGAAAAGTACTTGATAATAACTTTGAAGTTATAAAAATTTTACAAAAAAGTACTTGAAATTTTTTTTGGGAATCTCAATTTCATATTCAAAATGTTGAAAAGTACTTGAAAGTAGAAAAAAATAATCATCAAAGTGTTAAAAAGTATTTGAAAACAAAATTTACTGTTCAAAAATAGGTACTTAAATTTTTTTTGAAATTTCAAGTTCATCTTTAAAGTGCTGAGAAGTACTTTAAAACGACATTTGAAAACTTGAAAACCAATTTAACCAAGTTGTTAAAAAATACTTGAAAAAGATTTTGAAAACTTAAAAAGCGATTTTACACTATTCAAAAATAAGTACTTGAAAATTTTCATTAAACTTCAAGTTCAACTTTAAAGTATTGGAAAGTACTTGAAAATTACTTTAAAAGTAGTCTATTTTAAAACAATATCAAAAGCAGTTTCAAATTGTTAAAAACAAATACTTGAAATTTTAAATCCTACTTGAAAAAGTGTTGAAAAGTACTCGGAAAAATTTTCAAAACTTAGAAAACCTCGATAAACATCTAGGAAAATTTAAAAAAAAAAGATCTAATGTTAATAAACAAGTACTTGAAACTTCAAGTTCAATTTTAAAGTACTTGAAAAAATTTCAAGACTTGGAAATTTTCGAAAAAAGTTTACCAAAAAATCCAATGTAAATAAGCTGTACTTGAAATTTTAAATCCAACTTTAAAAAGTGTTGAAAAGTACTTGGAAAAATTTTCAAAACTTAGAAAACATCGATAAAAATCTAAGAATTTTTTTTAAAAAGATCCAATGTTAATAAACAAGTACTTGAAACTTCAAGTTCAATTTTAAAGTAATCGAAATAATTTCAAAACTTGGAAATTTTCGAGAAAATTTTCTGATAAAAATCAAAAAAATTTCAAGTACTTAATTTTTTAAACAGTTTTAAAATTAGTTTAGAAATTTTTTAAAGTTTTCAAGATTTGTTTCAAGTACTTTTTGATAACTTTAAAGTATATTTCCAAGTACTTTTCAATATTTTGAAGATGCAATAAAATTTTCAAGTACTTATTTTTGAAAGTTTTAATTCAGTTTTCAAGTACTTTTAATGAGTACTTTTTTCTATTTTCAAGTTCTTTTCAATACTTTGAAATTTCAAAAAAATGTTCCAAGTACTTAAATTAAGTTAAGTTTAAAGTATATTTTCAAGTATTTTTCAATATTTTAAATTAAAAAAAAAAAAATAAGTACTTATTTTTGATAGTTTTAATTCAGTTTTCAAGTACTTTCAATGAGTATTTTTCAATATTTTCAAGTTCTTTTTAAATAAATTATACACCATTGATTTTTTTATTTTTTAACGGAATTTTACTTTGACAAGATTAGGAGCAATTGCCAATATTTCCATTAAATTTTGAGCAAACCAAAACAAATTATATATGATTGGAAAGAGCATTAAATTCTCTATAAATCTGTACAAAATTGAGCTCAATAGCTCGAATAGTTTCCGAGCAATTAAATCTTGAAATTAATTTTCCAGGTGGAGATGGAACGTACCACTTCAAGTTGCTGGTACCCAGCGTCGCCGCAGGGGCGATAATCGGCAAGGGCGGCGAAACCATAGCCCAACTACAAAAGGAAACCGGCGCCCGAGTGAAAATGTCCAAATCGCACGATTTCTATCCAGGTAAAAATAATTATTACGAAACTGCGACCTTGCAACGTTAACCTTATGGCACGGTTCCAGGTACAACTGAACGGATTTGCTTGATATCGGGAAACGTTGATGCTATTATGGTTGTTTTGGACTTTATTATGGATAAAATTAGGGAAAAACCGGACATGACTAAGCCGATTATTGAGGCGGGCGATAGTAAATTGACCCAGGAACGAGACAAACAAGTAATCAAATTTGTATATATAATAATATTGACAATAATTATTTGGGTTGTTGTAGGTTAAAATTTTGGTTCCAAATAGTACCGCAGGTATGATTATAGGCAAGGCGGGCAACTATATTAAGCTGATTAAGGAAAACAGTGGGTCGTATGTGCAAATATCGCAAAAGGCCAAAGATGTTAGTTTGCAAGAGCGTTGCATCACTGTGATTGGTAAGTTATTATTATTATAGATAAGGTAAATTTAAAGTCAATTTAATAGTCTAAGATTCAGCTTCACAATAACACCCCTTATACTTTTTCTTGATAAAATTCCTATATTTTTTTTTGCAGTAAAATGTATAGATAAATAAATTCTGGGGTAGTTATGGTAGACTATATCTAAGTAGGTACTTATTATAGTGCAAATATTTAAATAAAATATTGGATAGTGAGTAGATACTTAAAATAGTTTGAATACTTTAAGTACTTTTGAAAACTACTTAAGTATATTCAAATTTCAAGTACCTATATTTTTAAATTATGAGTATAGTACTTAAAATAAATTGCCAAATTTAAGTACCAGTACAAGTACGTTTTCCAAATTTTATTGATTCTTAAGTACATTCTTAAGTACAAAAATTCTTAAGTAAAATATTTAAAGTATCAAATATATATCATAATGATATTTTGTAAAGTAAAACTTTACAAACAATTTTTTCACTCAAAAACTAAAGTGACTGGAAAGTTGAAATTTTGAGGACTTTTTCCTAATGATTCAACGTAAAAAATACCAAAAACTCAAAGCGATTGAGTTATTATTAATGGAGTTGCGATTTTTTGAAAATAATGATGTTTTGTAAAGTAAGATTTTACAAACAATTTTTTCTCAATAGCCGATTTTTGGCTCAGAACTTCGTTATTTTTGAGCCGATTTTGATGATTCCATTTTCAAATTGAAGCCGATTAAATTCTCTACAAAACTGTCAATTTAATTTTGACAGTTACGTTACTCAGAAGTTTCAAAATTTGGAAATTACAATAATGACAATGAGCTAAATTTTTGTTAAATCAAAATTCCTTTTCCAGGTGAAAAAGACCAAAACAAACAAGCCTGCCTGATGATAATAGGCAAAGTGGTCGAAGACCCGCAAAGCGGCACCTGCCTGAACGTCTCCTACGCTGACGTCAGCGGCCCGGTAGCCAACTACAACCCGACCGGATCGCCGTTTGCGCAGCAACCGGGCGCAGCCCCTTTTGGTCCTACAACTGCCACAATTAGTCAACAAGGCTTAGTACTAAATGGCGCAGGCGCCGCCAGTCTGAGCCTCAACTTAACAGCACCTGGTCAAAGCATTGGCGGTTTTACTGCGCAGCTTTTGGACCATATTAAGATTCAACTGCGCAGCTCTGGTTTAACTGAGGCGCATATTGCTGAAATCAGCGCCGCCTTAACCGTACTTGCAAAGTATGGTATTTTAGGAGTGGGGTTGGGTATTCAGGGGGCGCACCACGCAGGCGCTATGCCTGTTTCCAGTTACTTGAGCGTAATGGAGCAAGCGGGCGCTGCTGGTACTTTTGGCGCTGTTGGCCAAATAAGTTTAGGAGAATGTTTAGGTAAGATTTTAAAGCATTTTTTGAATAAATGGAATAATCTGGAATTTTCAGGTGCCAACTCCCCCACTCCTCGTTCGAGTCTGGAACGGTACGAGTCGGCGTTTGATCCGTTCCGGCACCAGGTGTCGACGTCAGCGGCAACTGCGCCAATTTCGCTCAATAATAACAGTTTCGGTTTGGGCACCAACCATCATCAGGTCGCTGTTTTGAGCGCCAAAAGTCCGACTCCGGCCGAACTTAAGCATACCGAAAGTAAAAACGTCGAAATACCCGAAGTCATTGTCGGTGCCATACTAGGTAAGTCATAGTCAAAAAGTTGTTTGAGCGAGGTAGGTTGTGACGTCATTTGGGGTGCCTCAACATAATTCAAATCTCCATGAGGCATTTCAGATGCGTCACGTATTGAGGGTGATTGTCACGATTTTTGAATGATTGTTACACCCATCACGTCTGAGTATTTTGCTGCTTTGTAAGTCAATAGATTAAATATCCAAGTGTTGTAATATGTGCCTCTTTAAATCGCTTTTTCATTTATATTTTACTTTGCAAGTGTCACATTCAAAAGAATAAATATCCGAGTGTGTTAACATGCCTTTTCAAAACACCTTTTGTTTTAAATTTTGCTTCGCAAGTGTCACATTCAAAAGGATGAATATCTGAATGTGTTAACATGTGCATTTTCCAATTGCCCAAAACTTACCGGTTTTGAATAACCTTTCCACTTTCCTTTGGATGACATAATCTGGTCTAAACGTCCATTAGCTGACACAGTTTCTGGAAACAAAAGAAAACTTCATTGAAACAGTGGATTCAATTGACAACGTTCTACTGCCATATAATCTCAAAAAATACGAGCCTGAATCGCAAGTATTTCATCGAGGTCTGCGGGTGACGTCACCACTAAACTATTAGCATTAGCTTCTTATATGGTGACGTCACTTGCAGACCTTGTGGACTCGAGAACCATCGAACGTACGTCTTCTTAGGGGTTGTATTTTCGAATTCATTCGAGTACATTTCGTGTACACGAAATTTGACTGACAGCAATGTAAATCGTATCCAATTTCGTATGCAAGAATATTCGAGAATACGACCCCTAGATGAGCAATCCTCTAGTTTACGATTTTTGGGTTTTAATAATAAATGTAAATGTCAAAAATTCAAATTAAAGTTGTTATTTTTTAGTTGTTTATACATACAGAGTGGCAAAAAAAATAGTGCATACAACCTTAACAAAATTTGGGCGTGGCTCCAAAAAATTTGTTGCGCTTTTGCTCAAGGGGGTCCATAGGGGGAGACATATCGACACGAACCCGGCCCGAAGGGCCGGTGTTATACACGAACCCGGCCCGAAGGGCCGGAGTTATACACGAACCCGGCCCGAAGGGCCGGAGTTATACACGAACCCGGCCCGAAGGGCCGGAGTTATACACGAACCCGGCCCGAAGGGCCGGAGTTATACACGAACCCGGCCCGAAGGGCCGGAGTTATACACGAACCCGGCCCGAAGGGCCGGAGTTATACACGAACCCGGCCCGAAGGGCCAGAGTTATTCTTCCAGAATCGAGATTCGAAAAAAAAACATATGGCAACACGGCTTATAATACAATAAACGTCAAAAAATTGGCCCCTGTTTAGCTACTTTCTACGTAAATTGACAGCTGTCAACGTCAAAAAAGTTTTTTTTTTATTTTGTAAATTTCGAGAAAAAAAAATGGTAGAAAACGATCCTCGAACCCCAAAAACCTTAAATAAAAATTCCAAAAAAAAAAAATCAACAAAAATGACATTCCAAAACCTACTTGATAAAACTAAAGTTTTTCTCACTTACCCCATTAAAATATTGGAAATTTTTGGTGGAAAATGAAGAAAACTCAAAGCCTCGTATGTTAAATCGCTTTTTCCCATTAAAAAACCCCGGAAAAGCCGAAAATTCGAGAAAAAACTGACAAAAAATCACAAGACGTCACTTCAAAATGACCAACTAAAAGCAACGTTGCCACATCTCATCTCGGAAAATTCAATTTAATAATTAATTAATAATGATTATAATAATTAAAATTCCCCAAATAAATCATAGGAAACTTGTTTTTATTTAATTTTAATGAAAATGACATTATAAGGTTTCCTTATTGATTATAGTGAGTAAGACAAAGACAACAATAAAGTAGTATATGTTTGCAAAAACCACCGTTTTGTGAAAAAAGTAAAAATCTTAAGAAAACCAACATTCCAAAGCCAATTTAATAAAACTAAAGTTTTCGAATATTCCCGACTCTTTGATTGGACGCTAAAAATCACATTTTAAATATTCCCGATTTTTAATTGGCTCTAAATTATCCGCTGACCAATAGAATTATAGACTGAGCCCCGTGATTAAAATAACTCTAGCTCTTCGGGCTCGCGTATAACTCCGGCCCTTCGGGCCGGGTTCGTGTATAACTCCGGCCCTTCGGGCCGGGTTCGTGTATAACTCCGGCCCTTCGGGCCGGGTTCGTGTATAACTCCGGCCCTTCGGGCCGGGTTCGTGTATAACTCCGGCCCTTCGGGCCGGGTTCGTGTATAACTCCGGCCCTTCGGGCCGGGTTCGTGTATAACTCCGGCCCTTCGGGCCGGGTTCGTGTATAACTCCGGCCCTTCGGGCCGGGTTTGTGTTAGGATCTTGGAAAATCGGAAAATTCGAGGAAAAACTGAATAGAAATGTAAACACGTCAATTATAAATAGCCGACTGTCAAAACTGGCAAATGACGTTTATTACAAATCCTACTTGAAGTTAGTCACATCACAAGCAGTGTTGCCACATGAAAATTTCCAAAAAAAGCAATTTAAATGGGATTTTACTAATTATGGTTTTAAAAACTGGAAATTTTTGCTGGAAAATGAAGAAAACTCAAAGCCTCGTACTTTAAACCAGTTTTCCCGACTGAAAAAACCTTGAAAAAGTGGAAAATCCAAAGAAAACCAACATTCCAAAGCCTACTTGATAAAACTAAAGTTTTTCTTACTTACCCCATTAGTAAACTGGAAATTTTTGGCATAAAATGTAGAAAATTCAAAGCCTCGTATTTAAAATCGGTTTTTCCGACTAAAAAAACCCTGGAAAAGCGGAAAATTTGAGGAAAAACTAGATAGAAATGTAAACACGTCAATTAAAAATAGCCGACTGTCAAAACTGGCAAATGACATTACATTACAAGGCTTGTTGATTGAAAGCGACGTTGTCACATTTCAAATAGGAAAAAATTATATTTTGAATGGTTTTTTGGCCTACTCGATAAAATTAAAGTTTTTCTCACTTACCCCATTGGAAAACTAGAAATTTTTGGCACAAAATGTAGGAAATCCAAAGCCTCGTATTTTAAATCGGTTTTTCCGACTAAAAAAACCCTGGAAAATAAGAAAATTCCAGGAAAAACTGGATAAAAATGTAAACACGTCAATTGAAAATTATTGCCAACTATCAAAACTGGCAAGTGACATTTATTATAAGGATTACTTGAAGTTAGCCACAAGCGGTGTTGCCACATTAAAACTTCAAAAAAAAACATTTAGGAAATACAAAGCCCCGTATCCATTTGTGGCATAGACAGCATATCATTTCTTGCCTTGGACATAGACTGTTAAAACAACTTATGACGTCAAAAATGGTGACACACCAAAATGGTGGCGATTATCAAAAATAAGGCTGATAAGCAATTCTATAGGTGTGTATCATACTTGGTTTAAACTTGCATTTTTTCACGAGTGATGACGTCATTTAAAAATTGGTTTAAATTATATTGTAGTTCAATCCAGTCGCCATGACATAGCGATTTCCATTTTTTGAATCAATACAAAAAAAAAAATGTGTTCTTATCCTTATATTTTACACTCTGTGCAAAGTTCTTAAAGTAATGATGACGCAACTAGGGTGCCTTATGGAAATTTGCATTATGTTGAGGCACCTTGGATGACGCCATGACTGCAACGATTATTCTTTTCGCTATGGCACTTGCTGTTTTTTTTCTTTAGAGATAGAAAGAGAATATCTCTATTGGTTGCCAGAATCCCAGCCCTGAATATTAGTGATCTGGGCTGGGATTCTAGACAAATAAATATATTTTTTCTATACAAGAAAGAAGAAAATAGCAAGTATCATAGCAATAAAGATAATGATATCTATTTATTACAACAAAGGCAACATTATGACGTCATGTGACAACCGTAAAACATTCAATAATTAAAATAAGAAGTTTGTTATGCCCACGTCGCCATCTTGAATTATCAACTTCGAATTAATTGTTTCAGGTCCAGGTGGTCGTTCTCTCGTCGAAATCCAGCAAATAAGCGGCGCCAACATTCAAATATCGAAAAAGGGAATTTTCGCGCCGGGCACGCGCAACCGCATCGTCACCATTACCGGCAACCAGCATTCCATTGCGACTGCGCAGTACCTGATCGAGCAACGGATTTCCGAGGAGGAACTGAAGAGGGCGCGCAACAACGGGATCGGCGCCCTTGCCATGCCCCAGTGAGCTGTGAGCCCTCTGATTGGTCGGATTATTCGGGCTAAGGGTTTTTTTTTTTCTGTTTTTTTTTTTGGGTAAATTAAAAATTGTTCATTTATGTATATAATTGATCTGATAATTGAATTGTGATGATCATCGTCATTTTGTTGTAAATTCATTTTTTTTTTGTTCATTGAGCTCTGACGTCACACACATAACGTCACAAAACATGTCATTAAGACAAACCTAGTGTGACGTCAGCCTAATTGTTTTGAAGGCGGACAAGGTAAGTGAGCGTGTATTTTTTGTACAAATCGAGTACCTGATTGCTGGTTGAACTCAGGCACATTCAATATATTAAATCCAGAGGCGGAGGTGGTTTTTTTTTTTTTTTTTTTTGGTAAGTGAAATGTAAATACTATAATTGCTGTTAAAACAAAAAAATAGATTAAATTAACTATTGTTATCGCATGTTGTTGTTAATGTTGACTTATGGTCAAAATATTATCGCTATCCTTCTTTTTTTTCAAATAAATAATTATTATATAAAGTTGAAGAATATCATCCCTTAATTAAAAAAAAAAAAAACAACCAAATATTTTAAGGTTGTTTACTGTGATATAGGTATCGTTGTTTAAGGCCTGGTTTATTCATTTCACTCTAGGTTTGTTCCTACAGGAGTCTCTGACAGTTTGCAACCTGTCAGCTGAGTTACAGATTTATTTTGTAACAGTGGCGGCTCGTAACTATTTCAAGTGAGGAGGCTAAAAGATTTTCAGTGATTTTGAGTAGATCTTACAAGTTTTTCTGGGATTTTGATCAACTTGTATACAAATTATCACAGTGGCGGCTCGTCAGAGGAGGCAGGGAAGGCTAAGTTTCCCCCAAAAAATTGAAAATTCAATCTCAATTTTTTATTTTTCATTCCTAATTAAAATAATAATTCACAAATTACACTTTCCAAATTTCGCCGGCCCCAAGGGCCGGAATTATACGCGAACCCGGCCCGAAGGGCCGGAGTTATAGGCGAGGCCGGCCCGAAGGGCCGGAGTTATAAGCGAGGCCGGCCCGAAGGGCCGGAGTTATAGGCGAGGCCGGCCCGAAGGGCCGGAGTTATAGGCGAGGCCGGCCCGAAGGGCCGGAGTTATAGGCGAGGCCGGCCCGAAGGGCCGGAGTTATAGGCGAGGCCGGCCCGAAGGGCCGGAGTTATAGGCGAGGCCGGCCCGAAGGGCCGGAGTTATAGGCGAGGCCGGCCCGAAGGGCCGGAGTTATAGGCGAGCCCGAAGGGCCAGAGTTATTCTTCCAGAATCGAGATTCAAAAAAAAAAACATATGGCAACACTGCTCATGATACAACAAACGTCAAAAAATTGAAATTTCAAACCTTGGGTTTTTTTGACAATCGATACAAAATGACATCTTTTTGTTTCAAAGATTACGGCCCGAAGGGTCGAAGTATTAAAATCAATTAACAATGAACGGATTTGTTCGGAAAAAACTTTTCTCACATGACACTTTGACAATATCGTCACCTGTCAAATTTGACACATGTTCGACTTTTTCCCCGCTCTACTCTAAAAGCTACGAAAATCAAACCCCGGTACAAGGCAGTTTCACGACGCCAACTATCGATTTGTGTCAAAAAAAATTGACAGCTGTCAACGTCAAAAAAGTTTTTTTTTTAAATTTTGCGAATTTCGAGAAAAAAAAGTGGTAGAAAACGATCCCCGGACCTGAAAAACCGTAAATTCCAAAAAGAACCAACGAAATTGATATTCCAAAACCTACTTGATAAAACTAAAGTTTTTCTCACTTACCCCTTTAAAACACTGGAAATTTTTGGTGGAAAATGAAGAAAACTCAAAGTCTCATACTTTAAATTTTTTTCTCGACTGATAAATCGAATAATAAATTGCTTTTTTCCATTAAAAAACCCCGGAAAAGTCGAAAATTCGAGAAAAAACTGACAAAAAATCACAAGACGTCACTTCAAAATGGCCAACTAAAAACAACATTGCCATATTTCATTTCGGAAAACAATATAACAGTATAACTCCGGCCCATCGGGCCGGACTCGCATATAACTCCGGCCCTTCGGGCCGGACTCGCATATAACTCCGGCCCTTCGGGCCGGACTCGCATATAACTCCGGCCCTTCGGGCCGGACTCGCATATAACTCCGGCCCTTCGGGCCGGACTCGCATATAACTCCGGCCCTTCGGGCCGGACTCGCATATAACTCCGGCCCTTCGGGCCGGACTCGCATATAACTCCGGCCCTTCGGGCCGGACTCGCATATAACTCCGGCCCTTCGGGCCGGACTCGCATATAACTCCGGCCCTTCGGGCCGGATTTGTTCCTCCTGTGGAAACAGACCTTCTGTCTTCTTCTCTCTCATTGAAATCAATATACAATAAGATGAATAAAACTTGGCCTTTATTATTAATATTCAGCTAAAAGTGACCTTCAATTTCTTCGCTTATTCTTTTTGTTAATAATTAAAAGGCCTATATTATTATTATTATTATTATAAAACAAAAAAAAAAAAAAAACGAATAGCTATTATTATTATTGTTCAAGGTTGCCTGACTTCTATGACGTCATCGGTGGTGCCTCAACACCACCAGACAACCTTGATTATTGTTATTATATTATTAATTAATGCCCAAATTAATCTAATATTAAAATAGAGCTTATATTTATAGAGTTACCAATTGTTAAAACGTGTATATTTTATTAATAAGGCCCGGTTTATTAACTGTCAGTATAAATAAACCTGGCCTTATAATAATACATATATATATATATATAAATAGGGTGATATTAGTTATTTTTTCGGTTGGGTCATACATACACTACTGAAACGGGTCATATAGAATATAGATGCATTGTCAACCACATATATCCTATTTACAATCCAATTTCCACAGGTATAGGTAAATTTATCACCTTTCCCCATTAAATAGCATTGAAAGGTAATAAATTTTACCTGTACCTGTGGACAGACGGATTGTGAATGGATAAAATATATATATATTTTTTTTTTGTTATTCAATAAAAAACTCCCCATTTATTATGTATACATTTTCATTCATTCACCCTCAGCACCTTTACCTATAGTTCATTTTTCATCCCTCCTATACAAGCAAATACAAAGACTATATTATCTATAGTCGATTTTTCCTTTTTTTTTTTGTACAATTTTCATTTGTCTGTGATAAAAAACGTCACGACGGCTTCGTTCGTGATTAATTAATTAAATAAATTGTTAAGTTTTGATCTTTTTTATTGGAAATTTTAACCTTTATTGGCTCAAAACGGAAGCATCTACGATGACGTCAGGGTCTTAAAAATAATTTACAACTAGCGACATCTGTAAAACGAAAGCTACTATTACAGAATTTTTTTGCAGGAATCTGTAACTAATAGTAAAAGTTTCAACTAAATATTACAGAAATCTGTAATTATGAAAAATGTCTACAGCTAGGATTTCAGCGAAACAATGACGTCACCATAAGTACTAGCGTTAGTTAATTCCAATTAGCCATGTAATAGGAAAATATTTCAATAAATTAATGTTTTTTTTTTAATTGATTTGTTTCATTTTCCCTCTTATATCCTAGTAAGAAGATCATTATAGGAAAATTTCAAAATTTTCCAGTGGAAAATAACTCCAGGAAAAATTCTAGAAAATTGACTTTTTTAAGCAAAATTAAAGAAAATTCATCCTCAATTTCAATTGGACTCAATTGACGTCATCAAGTTACCTTCTTCTAGACAACCTTGTACAAAATGCATTTTCTAATGGGTCTTCCAGTGACGTCATATTTTTGCAAAATGCATTTTCAATCGATTCCAGGCACTCGATGGTTTGGTCATGCAATGTTGCCAAACGCCTGGAATAATCACAATTTGGTTCAGAAATTACTGAGTCTCAAAAACATTTCAATTGACGTCATCAAGTTACCTTTTACTAGACAAACCTATACAAAGTGCATTTTCTAATAGGTCTTCCAGTGACGTCATAATTTTGCAAAATGCATTTTTAATCGATTCCAGGCACTCGATGGTTTGGTCATGCAATGTTGCCAAACGCCTGGAATAATCACAATTTGGTTCAGAAATTACTGAGTCTCAAAAACATTTCAATTGACGTCATCAAGTTACCTTTTACTAAATAACCTTGTACAGAGTGCATTTTCTAATGGGTCTTTCAGTGACGTCATAATTTTGCAAAATGCATTTTCAATCGATTCCAGGCACTCGATAGTTGGTCATGCAATGTTGCCAAACGCCTGGAATAATCACAATTTGGTTCAGAAATTAATGAGTCTCAAAAACATTTCAATTGACGTCATCAAGTTACCTTTTACCAGACAACCTTGTACAAAGTGCATTTTCTAATAGGTCTTCCAGTGACGTCATAGTTTTGCAAAATGCATTTTTAGTCGATTCCAGGCACTCGATGGTTTGGTCATGCAATGTTGCCAAACGCCTGGAATTATCACAATTTGGTTCAGAAATTACTGAGTCTCAAAAACATTTCAATTGACGTCATCAAGTTACCTTTTACTAGATAACCTTGTACAAAGTGCATTTTCTAATAGGTCTTCCAGTGACGTCATAATTTTGCGAAATGCATTTTTAATCGATTCCAGGCACTCGATGGTTTGGTCATGCAATGTTGCCAAACGCCTGGAATAATCACAATTTGGTTCAGAAATTACTGAGTCTCAAAAACATTTCAATTGACGTCATCAAGTTACCTTTTACTAAACCACCTTGTATAAAATACATCTTCTGATGGGTCTTCCAGTGACGTCATAATTTTGCAAAATGCATTTTTAATTGATTCAAGGCGCTGGAAAATTAAGTAGTCTAAGAGATTTTCTCGCGGGGCGAATGGTTCGAACCACGGTTTAAACCAATTTGTAGATGACGTCATCACTTGTGATCGCAAGAAAATGAAAGGTTTGAACCACAGTCTTATGTCAACGAAGAACAAGCCATAAGCCGGTTCGAACTTTTTTGAACCAGGTTCAATGTGACGTCATTGGTTCAACGCGAGAATGTACAGGTTCGAACCTAATTGAACCGGGTCGAACCAGTTTCATCGCTAGAAAATAGCTCATTGTGTAGTAATTTTCTCTTATGGTGACGTTATCGTTTGTCTGAAATCAAAATTGGCCACTTTGGGTAATAGAGTCACTGTTTAATTTTCGTTTTATAGATGTCGCTAGTTGTAAATATTGATGACGTCATTGTAGATGCTTCTGTTTCAAGCTAATTTTGCTTAAAAATTCCAAATTTTCCCAACGAAAAATACCAGGGGTGCGTTCAAAGACGGCAATGCTAATGCCAAAACCTACTTTTCCCCCTCCACTGGTAATGCCGAACCACGTAGGTTGGAGCCAAACTTGAACGCAAAATGCCAATTTTGGCTTGGCTGTAGCCATTCCTGAACGCAGCCCAGGAAATGGCACTGTAGAAATATAGTTTGTGTTAGTTTATACTGTTTTTGATAGATGGCGCTACTCAAATTGACAGCACTAGTTGTCAAAAAAAAACCAAACGCCTGGAATAATAAAATTATTACAGGAATCTGCAATTTTTGACATTTAGTGGCTCCATCTATGCGCCAACCTTCAACTTAACAAAACAGCTGTCCTCGACAACGTCAGACTCAGATGTTGCGCACTCAAATTATCAAAAGTACAACACATAATATTAACAGACAAAAAAAAAAAAAAGAATTATTTTCCTTTAAATATGAGTGAATTAAGGCAACGCAAAACATTGCACATTGAGGCCCAACAACAAGGTAAAACCCTATTGTACTCAGAGGCCTCAGAACTCAGAAACTTTTCATTCCAGATTCTGATCCTATAGAGGAAGGACCTCATGCTGTTCCAATAATAGTAGCAGGCCCAGACCACTCTTTCCAGTTGGACGAAGACGCTCTTAAAAAAGTGCTTTTGCGAGACGAAATCAAAGACCGTTACGTAGTGGTAATTTCGGTTGCTGGTGCTTTTAGGCATGGGAAATCTTTTCTGCTAGACTTTTTTCTGAGATATATGAATTCAAAAGTAAATACAAACAGAAAGAAAACCTAGGGGTAAATTGCTGACCAAAAGTGGTACACTGAAAATACCATATTTGACAAATAATACCAAAAATATTTCACCAAAATATTACCAAATATTGCCTTAAAAATTCAACTTAACAATTTATTAAATATGCTTCAAAATTTTGCAGGTTACTGGCAAGCAGAAACTTGCTTGCACTGTGTTTATACACTAAAGACTCACTAGGTAACAAAACCACACTGTCAAGGCAAAACTTGTTCCAATTCCGGAACCCCTACACTCAACTTTGAGCCGGTGTGCTCTTTTTTTTTTTTGCCTAGGTTGGCATGCAAAAGCCCTTATTCTAATTTTGCATTGACATATCCTAAGTTCTTAGTTCTCGTCAGCCTATTTTAAATCCTTATTTGTTGCCTAATCCTACTTTTTATTAACAACAAGTCCTAATCCTATTGGTTTCCTAATGTGTTGGCGTGCAAGCCTTTATGTCAAGTCACCTTTTTTCCTCGTTTTAGTATCTGTATTGTAGAATGTAGTATGTAGAACATGTATTTTTTGACAGTTGACATTTTAAATTTCAACTGTCAAAAGTGTTTTTTAGGTGACTGTCAATTGTCAATTTCATTGATTTTCCTGAGCGGGTCCTTTTTTTATACCGAAAAAGATGTTATTGAACGCACCCCTATTTTAAAATTATTTAAAATTTTGTTGTTTTTCGCAAGAAAAATTTGAAATTTTAGTGTGATGCGCCCCTGACTTTTCTCTTTTTCTCCAGAAAATGTCATAATTTTTCCTTAAATAGTTTTCCAAAAAAAAAATAAAAATATTAAATAGTGCATTTATGCCTAATTTAATTGATTTTTATTAATTTCCAATGGGGTTATTTTTCATTGGAAAAATTTGAAATTTCAGTATGATACGCCCCTGAGCTTCCTCTTTTTGTCCAGAAAATTTCATAACTTTCCCCTGAATAGTTTTCCAGAAAAAAAAAAAAAAAATGGTAGATGGTTCATTTACGCCTTATTTAATTGATTTTCATTAATTTCCAATAGGTTTATTTTCCATTTGGAAAACTTGAAATTTTAGTATGATACGTCTCTGACTTTTTTCGTTTTATCCAGAAAATTTCATAATTTTCCTTTGGATAGTTTTCCAGAAAAAAAAATAAAATAATAAAAGGTGCATTTATGATTAATTTAGTTGATTTTCATTAATTTCCAATAGGTTTATTTTACATTTGAAAAATTTAAAATTTTAGTATGATACGCCCCTGACTTTCTTCTTTTTTTCCAGAAAATTTCATAATGTTCCCCTGGATAGTTTTCCACAAAAAAAATAAAATGTTATAGTGCATTACTGAAATTTCATTAATTTCCAATGGTGTTATTTTCCACTGGAAAAATTAGAAATTTTAGTATGATACGCCTCTGATTTTCCTCTTTTGCTCCAGAAAACTTCATAATTTTCCCCTGGATAGTTTTCCAGAAAAAAAATAAAATGTAAGATGATGTATTTATGCCTAATTTAGTTGATTTTGAAAAAATTAGAAATTTTACTATGATACGCCCCTGACTTTTCTTTTTTTTTCCAGAAAATTTCATAATTTTGGCCTAGATAGTTTTCCACAAAAAAAATAAAATGTTATAGTGCATTACTGAAACTTCATTAATTTCCAATGGTGTTATTTTCTACTGGAAAAATTTAAAATTTTACTATGGTACGCCTCTGATTTTCCTCTTTTTCTCCAGAAAATTTCATAATTTTCCCCTGGATAGTTTTCCAGAAAAAAAATAAAATGTAAGATGGTGCATTTATGCCTAATTTAGTTGATTTTCATTAATTTTCAATAGAGGTATTTTTAACTGAAAAAATTTGAAATTTTACTATGATACGCCCCTGACTTTCTTCTTTTTACGAAAATTTATTGGAATTGAAGAAACATGTACTTGGATCTATAAAAATTTGTTGAAATTGAAAAAATTCAATGGAATTGCAAAAATATATTAAAATTATAAAAACTTGGAAAAATTGAAAAAATTTATTAAAAATATGAAAAATTAATTAAGTTGCAAAGAAATAAATGCAAAAGTTTGGAAAGTAAAAAATATGTTGGAATTGCAAACATTTATTGGAGTTGCAAAAATTCAGAGGAATTGCAAAAATTTAAAAAAATTACAAAAAAATTTTAAGAAATTTTGTTAAAAATGTGAAAATTTATTGGAATTGCATTACAAAAAATTTCGATTTGTAAAGAATTTGGAATTACAAAAATCTAGAATTGGAAAAAAATTTGGAATTGTAAATTTTATTGAAATTCTAGCAATACTTGAGTTTGTAAAAATTTAAAGAAATTAAAAAATCTTTTGGAATTGCAAAAATTTGAAGAAATCGTTAGAAATGTGAAAGTTCATCGAAATTGTGAAAATTATTAGAATTGCAAGAAAATCAAAAATTTGCAAGAAATTGGGAATTGCATTAAATTTATTGGAATTGCTAAAATTCATTGGAATTGCAAAAATTCATTGGAATTGCAAAAATTCATTGGAATTGCAAAAATACTTGGATTTGTAAACATTTGTTGAAATTGAAAATTCATACATTCATTGGAATTGCAGAATTTATTGAAATTGCAAAAATTTGAAGAAATTGCAAGAATTCGTTAAAAATGTGAAAAATTATTGAAATTACAGAAAATTATTAGAATTGCAAAAATTTAGAATTGTAAATATTTGAAATTGCATATATAGTGCATTTATGCCTAATTTAATTGATTTTCATTAATTTCCAATTAGGTTATTTTTCACTGGAAAAATTTAAAACTTTACTATGATACGCCCCTGACTTTCTCCTTTTTACCAAAATTTATTAGAATTGATGAAATATGTACTTGGATCTATAAAAATTTCTTGGAATTGGAAAATTCAAAGGAATTGTAAAATTCAAAGGAATTGCAAAAATATATTAAAATTATAAAAACTTGAAAAAATTTGTTAGAAATATGAAAAATTGATAAAGTCCCAAAAAATAATTTCAAAATTTGGAATTGTAAAAAATATATTGGAATTGCAAAAATTTTATTGAAATTGCAGAAATTCTTGGGTCCGTAAAAAATTTAAAAAATATGCAAAAATTTATTGGAATTGCAAAAATTCAAAGGAATTGCAAAGAATTATTGAAATTTAAAAAAAAATTGAAAGAAATTTTGTTAGAAATGTAAAAATTAATCGGAATTGCGAAAATTATTAGAATTACAAAAAATTTCGAATTACAAAACATTTTGAACTGTAAATTTTATTGAAATTATAGCAATACTTAAATTTGTAAAAATTTAAAAAAATTGAAAAATTTATTGGAATTGCAAAAATCTGAAAAAATCGTTAGAAATGTAAAAGTTCATCGAAATTGTGAAAATTATTAGAATTGCAAGAAAATCAAGAATTTGCAAGAAATTTGGAATTGCATTAAATTTATTGGAATTGCTAAAATTCATTGGAATTGCAAAAATACTTGGATTTGTAAACATTTATTGAAATTGAAAATTCATACATTCATTGGAATTGCAAAATTCATTTGAACAAATTGCAAGAATTCGTTACAAAAATGTGGAAATTTATTGAATTTGCAGAAAATTATTAGAATTGCAAAAAAATTAGAATTGTAAATATTTGGAATTGCATAAAATATAAGATAGTGCATTTATGCCTAATTTAGTTGATTTTCATTAATTTCCAATTAGGTTATTTTTCACTAGAAAAATTTAAAACTTTACTATGATACGCCCCTGACTTTCTCCTTTTTACCAAAATTTATTAGAATTGATGAAATATGTACTTGGATCTATAAAAATTTCTTGGAATTGGAAAATTCAAAGGAATTGCAAAAATAATTATATTAAAATTGTAAAAACTTGAAAAAATTTGTTAGAAATATGAAAAATTGATAAAGTTGCAAAAAATAATTTCAAAATTTGGAATTGTAAAAAATATATTGGAATTGCAAAAATTTTATTGAAATTGCAGAAATTCTTGGGTCCGTAAAAAATTTAAAAAATATGCAAAAATTTATTGGAATTGCAAAAATTCAAAGGAATTGCAAAGAATTATTGAAATTTAAAAAAAAATTGAAAGAAATTTTGTTAGAAATGTAAAAATTAATCGGAATTGCGAAAATTATTAGAATTACAAAAAATTTCGAATTACAAAACATTTTGAACTGTAAATTTTATTGAAATTATAGCAATACTTAAATTTGTAAAAATTTAAAAAAATTGAAAAATTTATTGGAATTGCAAAAATCTGAAAAAATCGTTAGAAATGTAAAAGTTCATCGAAATTGTGAAAATTATTAGAATTGCAAGAAAATCAAGAATTTGCAAGAAATTTGGAATTGCATTAAATTTATTGGAATTGCTAAAATTCATTGGAATTGCAAAAATACTTGGATTTGTAAACATTTATTGAAATTGAAAATTCATACATTCATTGGAATTGCAAAATTCATTTGAACAAATTGCAAGAATTCGTTACAAAAATGTGGAAATTTATTGAATTTGCAGAAAATTATTAGAATTGCAAAAAAATTAGAATTGTAAATATTTGGAATTGCATAAAATATAAGATAGTGCATTTATGCCTAATTTAGTTGATTTTCATTAATTTCCAATTAGGTTATTTTTCACTAGAAAAATTTAAAACTTTACTATGATACGCCCCTGACTTTCTCCTTTTTACCAAAATTTATTAGAATTGATGAAATATGTACTTGGATCTATAAAAATTTCTTGGAATTGGAAAATTCAAAGGAATTGCAAAAATAATTATATTAAAATTGTAAAAACTTGAAAAAATTTGTTAGAAATATGAAAAATTGATAAAGTTGCAAAAAATAATTTCAAAATTTGGAATTGTAAAAAATATATTGGAATTGCAAAAATTTTATTGAAATTGCAGAAATTCTTGGGTCCGTAAAAAATTTAAAAAATACGCAAAAATTTATTGGAATTGCAAAAATTCAAAGGAATTGCAAAGAATTATTGAAATTTAAAAAAAAATTGAAAGAAATTTTGTTAGAAATGTGAAAATTAATTGGAATTGCGAAAATCATTAGAATTACAAAAAATTTCAGATTGCAAAGAATTTGGAATTACAAAAATTTAGAATTGCAAAAAATTTGGAATTGTAAATTTTATTGAAATTGTAGCAATACTTGAATTTGTAAAAATTGGTAGATATTGAAAAATTTAAAGAAATTGAAAAATTTTCTGGAATTGCAAAAATTTGAAAAAATCGTTAGAAATGTGAAAGTTCATCGAAATTGTGAAAAATATTAGAATTGCAAGAAAATTTAGAATTTGCAAGAAATTTGGAATTGCATAAAATTTATTGGAATTGCCAAAATTTTGGACTTGCATGAATTTATTGAAATTGATAAAATTCATTGGAATTGCAAAAATACTTGGATTTGTAAACATTTGTTGAAATTGAAAATTCGTACATTCATTGGAATTGCAAAATTTATTTGAAGAAATTGCAAGAATTCGTTGTGAAATTACAGAAAATTATTAGAATTGCAAAAATTTAGAATTGTAAATATTTGTAATTGCATAAAATATAAGATAGTGCATTTATGCCTAATTTAATTGATTTTCATTAATTTCCAATTAGGTTATTTTTCACTGGAAAAATTTGAAATTTTAGTATGATACGCCCCTGACTTTTCTCTTTTTTTCCAGAAAATTTCATAATTTTGCCCTGGATAGTTTTCCCCAAAAAAAATAAAATGTTAAATAGTGCATTACTGAAACTTAATTAATTTCCAATGGTGTTATTTTCCACTGGAAAAACTTGAAATTTTACTATGATACGCTCCTGACTTTTCTCTTTTTTTCCAGAAAATTTCATAATTTTCCCCTGGATAGTTTTCCCCAAAAAAAATAAAATGTTAAATAGTGCATTACTGAAACTTAATTAATTTCCAATGGTGTTATTTTCCACTGGAAAAATTTGAAATTTTAGTATGATACGCCCCTGACTTTTCTCGTTTTGTCCTTTCGTAGTTGGCAACACTGGTAGGATAGTATTTTTACAATTTTTGGAGCCAAATATATCAAATATAGATTGTACCAAAATATTACCAAAAAATACCAAAGAAAATACCAAATAATAACAAATATTATTGAAAAATACCAAAATATTACCAAAAATACTATGTTAGTGTACACCCAAAATACCGTCAGCAATTTACCCCTCAAATAAACCACTTTTTTAATAAACAATATTCTATTGTAGTATGTCCATAAGCAAAACAGTTCTGAGTGGATGGGCTCAGATCAGGCACCGCTAGACGGATTTTCGTGGCGCGGAGGCTCAGAACGTGACACCACAGGCATTTTAATGTGGTCTGAAGTATTTCTAACCGAACTGGCAACAGGCGAAAAGGTTGCCATTTTACTACTAGACACTCAAGGCACTTGGGATAGTAAAAGCACTGTAAAAGAGTGCGCAACCATTTTTGCTCTGAGCACAATGATAAGTTCAGTGCAAATTTACAATCTGTCAACCAATATTCAGGAGGATGATTTGCAACATTTACAATTATTTACTGAATATGGCCGTTTAGCATTGGCAGATTCTGGTAAAACTCCTTTTCAGCGTTTGCAATTTCTGGTGCGTGACTGGAGGTTTCCTTATGAGGCAAATTACGGTGCAGTTGGTGGCTCGCAAATTCTTGAAAAACGCCTGGAAGTCAATGACCATCAACACTCAGAATTGCAATCACTACGTAAACACATTCGCTCATGTTTTTCAGAAATTGCTTGCTTTCTAATGCCTCATCCAGGCATTAGAGTGGCCACAAGTCCCACTTTTGACGGTCGCCTAGCGGAAATCGACCAAGAATTCAAAGACAATCTAAAAGTCTTAGTCCCAATGATTTTAAGCCCTGAAAATTTAGTCTTAAAAAAAATCAATGGGGAAAAAGTCAAGGTGCGTGACTTTGTACAGTATTGCAAGTCTTATATGCAAATTTATGAAGGTAATGAGCTTCCTGAGCCTAAATCTATGCTTGTTGCCACTGCTGAAGCTAATAATCTTGCCGCTGTGGCGGATGCGAAAGATGTTTATGTCCAGCTAATGGAGGATGTTTGCGGTGGAGCCAAGCCTTATTTGAAAACAGAAACTATGGAGGTTGAGCATAAAAGGGTCAAGGATAAAGCGATTGAGCAGTTTGAGAAAAAGAAGAAGATGGGAGGAGACGAGTTCAGTGCTGTGTACAAGGAACAATTAGAAAAGGTAACACTTGACTTATTTTAAAAAAAATTGCATATTTTAGTATGATACGCCCCTGACTTTCCTCTTTTTGTCTAAAAACTTTCATAATTTTTCCACTGGAAGAAATTTCTTGAAAAATAATTATTTAACATTTTCTGATGTAAACGCAACCAAAACTTTCTAATGTAATTTTTATAATTGGTTTAATTGTCGATAGATGGCGCTACGTATCACTTCAATGGAATTGGCTAGGTTTACATAGGAACTCTAGAATTTTGATTAATTTCCCATTTTGTTATTTTTCACTGGAAAAATTTGAAATTTTAGTATGATATGCCCCTGACTTTCCTCTATATTTCCAAAAAATTTCATAATTTTCCCTTGGATAATTTTCCAGAAAAAAAATAAAATGTTAGATGGTGCATTTATGCATAATTTAGTTGATTTTCATTAATTTCCAATGGGATTATTTTTCAATGGAAAAATTTGAAATTTTCCTATGATACGCCCCTGACCTTCCACTTTTTGTCCAGAAAATTTCATAATTTTCCCGTGAATAGTTTTCCAGAAAAAAAAATGTTAGATGGTGCATTTATGCATAATTTAGTTAATTTTCATTAATTTCCAATGTGATTATTTTTCAATGGAAAAATTTGAAATTTTCCTATGATACGCCCCTGATCTTCCTCTTTTTTTGCAGAAAATTTTATAATTTTCCCCTGCATAGTTTTCCAGAAAAAAAATAAAATGTTATATGGTGCATTTATTCCTGATTTAGTTAATTTTCATTAATTTCCAATTGGGTTATTTTTCACAGAAAAAAATTAAAATTTTAGTATGATACGCCCCTGACTTTCCTCTTTTTTTTTCAGAAAATAAATGCACCATTTAACATTTTATTTTTGTTTCTGGAAAACTATCCAGGGGAAAATTATGAAATTTTTTGGAAAAAAAAACAGAAAAGTCAGGGGCGTATCATACTAAAATTTTAAATATTTCCAATGGAAAATGACTATACGAAAAATGTTGGAAAATTAGCTAAAATTAGGGAAATTCCCCCTCTTGCATTTTAATTTTTTTCTGGAAAATTATCCAAGAAAATCTTATGAAATTTTCTGGAAAAATAGAAGACAGTCAGAGGCGTATCATACTAAAATTTCAAATTTTTCCAGTGGAAAATGAATCCAAGAAAAATTCTGGAAAATTAGCTAAAATTAGGGAATTTCCCCCTTCTTGCATTTTAATTTTTTCCTGGAAAACTATCCAAGGAAAAATTATGAAATTTTCTGAAAAAATAGAGGAAAGTCAGGGGCGTATCATGCAAAAATTTAAAATTTTTCCAATGGAAAATGACTCCAGGAAAAATTCTAAGAAAATTTGCGCCGGGAAAAAAAATTTATAAAAAGAATTGCGCCGAAATCTAAGAAAAGAAATGCTAAAAAAAGGGCAAAAAAAAATTCTGAGAAAATCGACGCCGGAAAAAAACTTGCGCCGGGATAAAAAAAATTCTAAGAAAATTTGCGCCGGGATAAAAATTCTCTAAGAAAATTTGCACCGGGATAAAAATTTTCTAAGAAAAATAGCGCCGAAGTCTAAGAAAAGAAATGCTGAAAAAAGGGCAAAAAAAAATTCCAAGAAAATCGACACCCGAAGAAAAAATTCTAAGAAAATTTGCGCCGGGATAAAAATTTTCTAAGAAAAATAGCGCCGAAATCTAAGAAAAGAAATGCTGAAAAAAGGGCAAAAAAAAAATTTGCGCCGGGATAAAAATTTTCTAAGAAAAATAGCACCGCAATCTAAGAAAAGAAATGCTGAAAAAAGAGCAAAAAAAAATAAATTCTAAGAAAATCACGCCGGATAAAAAATTTGCGCCGGGATAAAAAAATTCTAAGAAAAATAGCGCCGAAATCTAAGAAAAGAAATGCTGAAAAAAGAGCAAAAAAATAAATAAATTCTTAGAAAATCAACGCCGGAAAAAAATTCTAAGAAAATTTGCGCCGGGATAAAAAAAATTTAAGAAAAATAACACCGAAATCTAAAAAAATAATTGTTAAAAAAAGAACAAAAAAAAATTCTAAGAAAATTAACGCCGGAAAAAAACTTCCAAGAAAATTTGGACCGGCAAAAAATTTTCTAAGAAAAATAGCGCCGAAATCTAAAAAAAGAAATGGTGGAAAAAGGACAAAAAAAAAATTCTAAGAAAATTAACGCCGGAAAAAAAAATTCTAAGAAAATTTGCGCCGGGATAAAAATTTTCTAAGAAAAATAGCACCGAAATCTGAGAAAAAAAATGCTGAAAAAAGAGCAAAAAAAAATAAATTCTAAGAAAATCAACGCCGGATAAGAAATTCTAAAAAAATTTGCGCCGGGATAAAAATGTTCTAAGAAATATAACGCCCAAATCTAAGAAAAGAAATAATGAGAAAAGGGCAAAAAAAAAAAGAAAATCTATGAAAATTGATGCCGGAAAAAAACATTCTAAGAAAACTTGCACCGGGATAAAAAAATTCTAAGAAAAATAGCGCGAAGAATGCTGAAAAAAATTCTAAGAAAATCGACACCCGAAAAAAAAATTCTAAGAAAATTTGCGCCGGGATAAAAAATTTCTAAGAAAAATAGCACCGAAATCTAAGAAAAGAAATGCTGAAAAAAGAGCAAAAAAAAATAAATTCTAAGAAAATCAACGCCGGAAAAAAAAATCTAAAAAAATTTGCGCCTGAATAGAAATTTTCTAAGAAAAATAACGCCGAAATCTAAGAAAAGAAATGCTGAAAAAAGGGTAAAAAAAAAATCCAAGAAAATTGACGCCGGAAAAAAACATTCTAAGAAAACTTGCACCCGGATAAACATTTTCTAAGAAAAATAGCGCCGAAATCTAAGAAAAGAAATGTTGAAAAAAGGGCAAAAAAAAAATTCTAAGAAAATTAACACCGGAAAAAAAATTCTAAGAAAATTTGCGCCGGGATAAAAAATTTCTAAGAAAAATAGCACCGAAATCTAAGAAAAGAAATGCTGAAAAAAGGGCAAAAAAAAATTCTAAGAAAATTTGCGCCGGGCTGGAAATTTTCTAAGAAAAATAGCGCCGAAATCTAAGAAAAGAAATGCTGAAAAAAGGGCAAAAAAAAAAAATCTAAGAAAATCGACACCGGGAAAAAAAAATCTAAAAAAATTTGCGTCGGGATAAAAAATTTCCAAGAAAAATAACGCCGAAAAAAGGGCAAAAAAAAAAATTCTAAGAAAATCAACGCCGGAAAAAAAAAATCTAAAAAAATTTGCGCCAGGATAAAAAAAATTCTAAGAAAAATAGCGCCGAAATCTAAGAAAAGGAATACTGAAAAAAGAGCGAAAAAAAATAAATTCTAAGAAAATCAACGGCGGAAAAAAAATTCTAAAAAAAATTTGCGCCGGGATAAAAAATTTCTAAGAAAAATAGCGCCGAAATCCAACAAAAGAAATGCTGAAAAAAGGGCAAAAAAAAATTCCAAGAAAATCGACATGGAAAAAAAAAATCTAAGAAAATTTGCGCCGGGTTAAACATTTTCTAAGAAAAATAGCGCCGAAATCTAAGAAAAGAAATGTTGAAAAAAGGGCAAAAAAAAATTCTAAGAAAATCAATAACGGAAAAAAAAAATGTAAGAAATTTTTTTTCTGAAAAACTATCCGAGGGAAAATTATGAAATTTTCTGAAAAAATAGGGGAAAGTCAGGGGCGTATCATACAAAAATTTCAAATTTTTCCAGTAGAAAATGACTCCAGGAAAAATTCTGGAAAATTAACTAAAATTAGGGAAATTCCCCCTCTTGCATTTTAATTTTTTTCTGGAAAATTATCCAAGGGAAAATTATGAAGTTTTCTAGACAAAAAGAGGAAAGTCAGGGGCGTATCATACTGAAATTTCAAATTTTTCCAGTGAAAAATAACCCCATTGGAAATTAATGAAAATCAATTAAATTATAAATGCACCATGTAACATTTTGTTTTTTTTCTGGAAAACTATCCAAAGGAAAATTATAAAATTTTCTGGAGAAAACGAGGAAAGTCAGGGGCGTATCATAGTAAAATTTCAAATTTTTCCAGTGGAAAATAACCCCATTGGAAATTAATGAAAATTAACTAAATTAGGCATAAATCCACCATCTAACATTTAATATTTTTTCTGGAAAATTATACAGGGGAAGATTATGAAATTCTCTGGAAAAAAAAGGAAAAAGTCAGGGGCGTATCATAGTAAAATTTCAATTTTTTTCCAGTGGAAAATAACCCCATTGGAAATTAATAAAAATCAACTAAATTAGGCATAAATGCACCATCTTACATTTTATTTTTTTTCTGGTAAACTATCAAAAAAAAAATTATAAAATTTTTTGGACAAAAAGGGGAAAGTCAGGGGCGTTTCATAGTAAAATTTCAAATTTTTCCAGTGAAAAATAACACCATTGGAAATTAATGAAAATCAACTAAATCAGGCCTAAATGCACCATCTAATATTTTATTTTTTTTCTGGAAAACTATCCAAGGGAAAATTATGAAATTTTCTCGAAAAGAAGACAAAAATCAGGGGCGTATCATACTAAAATTTCAAATTTTTTCATTGAAAAATAACCCCATTAGAAATTAATGAAAATCAACTAAATTAGGCATAAATGCACCATCTTACATTTTATTTTTTTCCTGGAAAACTATTCAGGGAAAAATTATGAAATTTTCTGGACAAAAAAAGAAAAGTCAGGGGCGTATCATACTAAAATTTCAAGCTCAATTAATTAATTTATTCCAATGATTTCTATAGGACATTGAAGACACCTTCTTCCAATTCAAGTCCCACAACGAAAGCAAAAACATCTTCAAATCGGCCAGAACTCCGGCCGTCTTTTTCGCTCTCGCCATCGCCTTCTACATAACTTCCGGCCTGTTCGGCCTATTCGGGCTCTATTCTCTGGCCAACACCTGCAACTTAGGCATGGCCTTGGCCTTCTTGACACTAGTCACATGGGCCTACATCAGATACAGCGGCGAAATGCGCGAACTCGGCCTGGCCATCGACGAATCGGCCAATTTTATATGGGAAAATGTAAGTAAATGTCTCGAAAAAAAACAAAAAATAAAAACTAATAAATAACCTCCTTTTTCAATTTAGCGCTCCTATTTTAAAAAACGAAAACTAAGGAAACAAAGTATGTTTATTTACATTATTTTGTCCCACTGTATTGTGTGTGTAAAAAACTTATTTCTAACCTCAAAAATTTTTTTGTTTAGTTAATGAAAACAGCGGTCCAAGGGTACGTAGAGTCAGGTATACAGCAAATGGCTGTAGAAGTAGCTGAACGGACAGCTGTCAACGCCACTAGGACAGTTTTGAACAACGGCCATTTGTCTACGTGATTCCCCTATAGAAAATTTTGCATTTATTTTTTTTGTTGAGGTTATGTTGAGGCTTTTTATTTATATTTTATGTTTTATATACAAAGTAGGCTTAGGAGGAGGGGTTGTTTCTTCTTTTTTTTTTTTATGTATTAGGTGAGGAAGTGTGTGCCAAATTTTATTCGCAATAAATTAATTATTAATTATCCACCTAAGTGCCTAATTCTAATTAGTTAATTAATATTGTAAATAGACATTTCCCAGGCTCTCTTTTGTCTTTTTAATAGTTTATGATGTTCTAGAATGTTCCCCAGTGAATTTGTAAATAATTTTTTCCGGTAATTGGTAATTATTAATAAAAGCTAATTTAAATTATTTATTGGTTTTTCAATTAAAAATCTAAATTTTTAGTAAAATAGAATTCTATTTTAATATTATGACAAAAGCGATTTAACTGAAATAGAATTCTATGTATCAAGGTGCTTGCCCTTAAAAAGGATGCGATTACAGAAATCTGTAATTGGTAGCCAAATGATGCCAATGACATCACCAAAAGTACTCACATTTGGTTAATTTTAATAGGGCCTTATTGTTTTATACTAGTTATTGAGTAGCAACAATAAATTGATGTTTGTTTTATTTTTCCCTAATTACTTCTTGACGTTTGCTCACAAAAATGGCGAAAGCGTTTTGAAATTGAAAAATTTCAACTTTGAAACCCTATAACTACGAAACTAGATAAATCTGGATAAGGCCATTTTGTAGCAAATTTAATCCTCTATCCAATGAAATATATGATTCATTGAAATCGGTCCAGGCGTTTCAAAGTTATGGCCGATTTAATGACGTCATGTCAGGCTGAAAAAGCCCCTCTATGGATTTCCTATTTTATTTTTTTCCAGGCTTAGGAAAAATCCTAGAGGAAAACACCAAATAGCTTTTCTGCTTGTTTTGACCTCCTCTATGCACAGGAATTATTGTTTTTCCAAAAATTCGGAAAATTTTGATTTTCCATTTTGTGGGGTATTAAGGGGAAAAAAATGGGTTCCGACATTTCCCTGGATGTCCTCTGATAAAACTCCTTTTCAGCGTTTGCAATTTCTGGTGCGTGACTGGAGGTTTCCTTATGAGGCAAATTATGGTGCAGTTGGTGGCTCGCAAATTCTTGAAAAACGCCTGGAAGTCAATGACCATCAACACTCAGAATTGCAGTCACTACGTAAACACATTCGCTCATGTTTTTCAGAAATTGCTTGCTTTCTAATGCCTCATCCAGGCATTAGAGTGGCCACAAGTCCCACTTTTGACGGTCGCCTAGCGGAAATCGACCAAGAATTCAAAGACAACCTAAAAGTCTTAGTCCCAATGATTTTAAGCCCCGAAAATTTAGTCTTAAAAAAAATCAATGGGGAAAAAGTCAAGGTGTGTGACTTTGTACAGTATTGCAAGTCTTATATGCAAATTTATGAAGGCAATGAGCTTCCTGAGCCTAAATCCATGCTCGTTGCCACTGCTGAAGCTAATAATCTTGCCGCTATGGCGGATGCGAAAGATGTTTATGTCCAGCTAATGGAGGATGTTTGCGGTGGGGCCAAGCCTTATTTGAAAACGGAAACTATGGACGTTGAGCATAAGAGGGTCAAGGATAAAGCGATTGAGCAGTTTGAGAAAAAGAAGAAGATGGGAGGAGACGAGTTCAGTGCTGTGTACAAGGAACAATTAGAAAAGGTAACACTTGACTTATTTTTAAAAAAATTGCATATTTTAGTATGATACGCCCCTGACTTTCCTCTTTTTGTCTAAAAACCTTCATAATTTTTCCACTGGAAGAAATTTCTTGAAAAATAATTATTTAACATTTTCTGATGTAAACGCAACCAAAACTTTCTAATGTTATTTTTATAATTGGTTTAATTGTCGATAGATGGCGTTCCGTATCACTTCAATAGAATTGGCTAGGTTTACATAGGAGCTTTAGAATTTTCATTAATTTCCCATTTTGTTATTTTTCACTGGAAAAATTTGAAATTTTAGTATGATATGCCTCTGACTTTCCTCTATTTTTCCAGAAAATTTTATAATTTTCCCTTGGATAGTTTTGCAGAAAAAATTAAAATGCAAGAGGTGCAATTTTCCTAATTTTAACTAATTTTCCAGAATTTTTCCTGAAGTCATTTTCCACCGAAAAATTTGAAATTATAGTATGATACGCCTCTGACTGCCCTCCATTTTTCCAGAAATTTTCCTAAATTTCCCTTGGATAGTTTTTCAGAAAAAAATTGAAATGCAAGAGGAGGAATTTCCCTAATTTTAGCTAATTTTCCAGAATTTTTCCTGGAGTAATTTTCTACTGGAAAAATTTGGAATTTTATTATGATACGCCCCTGACTTTCCTCTATTTTGCCAGAAAATTTCATAATTTTCCAACGGAGAATGACTATACGAACATTTCTGGAAAATTAGCTAAATTAGGGAAATTTCCCCTATTGCATTTGAATTTTTTTCTGGAAAACTATCCATAGGGAAAATTATGAAATTTTCTGGAAAAATAGAGGAAAGTCAGGGGCGTATCATACTAAAATTTCGAATATTTCTAATGGAAAATGACTATACGAAAAATTCTGGAAAATTAACTAAAATTAGGGAAATTCCCCCTCTTGCATTTTAATTTTATTCCAGAAAATTATCTAAGGGAAAATTATGAAATTTTCTGGAAAAATGGAGGAAAGTCAGGGGCGTATCATACTAAAATTTCAAATTTTTCCAATGGAAAATGACTAAACGAAAAATTCTGGGAAATTAGCTAAAATTAGGAAAATTTTCCCTTTTGCATTTTAATTTTTTTCTGGAAAACTATCCATAGGGAAAATTATGAAATTTTCTGGAAAAATAGAGGACAGTCAGAGGCGTATCATAGTAAAATTACAAATTTTTCCAGTGGAAAATGCCTTCAGGAAAAATTCTGGAATATTAGCTAAAATTAGAGAAATTTCCTCCCTTATATTTAAATTTCTTTCTGGAAAACTATTCAAGGGAAAATTATAAAATTTTCTAGAAAAATTGAGAAAAGTCAGTGCCGTATCATATTAAAATTTTAAATTTTTCCACAGTGAAAAATGAATTCAGAAAAAATTCTGGAAAATTAGTTAAAATTAGGGAAATTGCCCCTCTTGCATTTTAATTTTTTTCTGGAAAACTATCCAAGGGAAAATTATGAAATTTTCTGGAAAAATAGAGGAAAGTCAGAGGCGTATCATAGTAAAATTTCAAATTTTTCCAGTGATAAATAACAAAATGGGAAATTAATCAAAATTCTAAATTTCCTATGTAAACCTAGCCAATTCCATTGAGTTGATACGGAACGCCATCTATCAACAATTAAACCAATTATAAAAATTACATTAGAAAGTTTTGATTGCGTTTACACCAGAAAATGTTGAATAATTATTTTTCAAGAAATTTCTTTAATGACATAATTACTCGGTACTACTCAGCATAATAATTCAGTACTACTCAATATAATTACTCGAAATGATTTCAACTCAACATAACTACTCGGTATTACTCGACATAAAAATCCAAAACTTCTTAACATAACTACTCAACGTAACTACTCGGCATAAAAATCCAAAACTGCTCGACATAACTACTCGGCATAAAAAAATCCAAAACTATTAGACATAAAAACTACTCTACTCCACTCGACATGAAAATCCAAAACTACTCGACATAAAAACTACTCAGTACTACTCGACTGGAAAATCCAAAACTACTCGACATAACTACTCAACGTAACTACTCGGCATAAAAATCCAAAACTGCTTGACATAACTACTCGGCATAAAAAAATCCAAAACTATTCGACATAAAAACTACTCTACTCCACTCGACATGAAAATCCAAAACTACTCGACATAAAAACTACTCAGTACTACTCGACATAAAAATCCAAAATTACTTGACATAACTACTCAACATAACTACTCGGCATGAAAATCCAAAATTACTCAACATAACTACTCGGCATAAAAAATCCAAAACTACTTGACATAAAAACTACTCAGTACTACTCGACTGGAAAATCCAAAACTACTCGACATAACTACTCAACGTAACTACTCGGCATAAAAATCCAAAACTGCTTGACATAACTACTCGGCATAAAAAAATCCAAAACTATTCGACATAAAAACTACTCTACTCCACTCGACATGAAAATCCAAAACTACTCGACATAAAAACTACTCAGTACTACTCGACATAAAAATCCAAAATTACTTGACATAACTACTCAACATAACTACTCGGCATAAAAATCCAAAACTACTCAACATAACTACTCGGCATAAAAAATCCAAAACTACTTGACATAAAAACTACTCAGTACTACTCGACTGGAAAATCCAAAACTACTCGACATAACTACTCAACGTAACTACTCGGCATAAAAATCCAAAACTGCTTGACATAACTACTCGGCATAAAAAAATCCAAAACTATTCGACATAAAAACTACTCTACTCCACTCGACATGAAAATCCAAAACTACTCGACATAAAAACTACTCAGTACTACTCGACATAAAAATCCAAAATTACTTGACATAACTACTCAACATAACTACTCGGCATGAAAATCCAAAATTACTCAACATAACTACTCGGCATAAAAAATCCAAAACTACTTGACATAAAAACTACTCAGTACTACTCGACTGGAAAATCCAAAACTACTCGACATAACTACTCAACGTAACTACTCGGCATAAAAATCCAAAACTGCTTGACATAACTACTCGGCATAAAAAAATCCAAAACTATTCGACATAAAAACTACTCTACTCCACTCGACATGAAAATCCAAAACTACTCGACATAAAAACTACTCAGTACTACTCGACATAAAAATCCAAAATTACTTGACATAACTACTCAACATAACTACTCGGCATAAAAATCCAAAACTACTCAACATAACTACTCGGCATAAAAAATCCAAAACTACTTGACATAAAAACTACTCAGTACTACTCGACTGGAAAATCCAAAACTACTCGACATAACTACTCAACGTAACTACTCGGCATAAAAATCCAAAACTGCTTGACATAACTACTCGGCATAAAAAATCCAAAACTATTCGACATAAAAACTACTCTACTCCACTCGACATGAAAATCCAAAACTACTCGACATAAAAACTACTCAGTACTACTCGACATAAAAATCCAAAATTACTTGACATAACTACTCAACATAACTACTCGGCATGAAAATCCAAAATTACTCAACATAATTACTCGGCGTATAGAAAATCCAAAACTACTCGACATAAAAACTACTCAGTACTACTCGACTGGAAAATCCAAAACTACTCGACATAACTACTCAACGTAACTACTCGGCATAAAAAGCCAAAACTGCTTGACATAACTACTCGGCATAAAAAAATCCAAAACTATTCGACATAAAAACTACTCAGTACCACTCGACATGAAAATCCAAAACTTCTCGACATAAAAATCCAAAATTACTCGACGTAACTACTCAACATAATTACTCGGCGTATAGAAAATCCAAAACTACTCGACATAAAAACTACTCAGTACTACTCGACTTAAAAATCCAAAGCTACTCGACATAACTACTCGGCATAAAAAAATCCAAAACTACTCAACATAAAAACTACTCGGTTCTACCAATCCAGAACAACATTTACCTGTGATCCCGTCCCGCGTCAGGCACTCGGCCGCCGTCACTCGCCCGTCCGAATCAACGTCGCACGCCTTCGGGAAACTTCGGGCGCATTTTTTCGGCCGCATGCTTTCCCCTCCAACCTCTTAATATCGCGATACTCTTTCCGATCCAACGCCCGATCTTGGTCGACATCTCCTCGGCAGTTTTTTTTTTGGCGCACCTGTAACTTGTCAATTAGTGTTTGACAGCTGTCAAAAAAAAACCACCTAGTGTCATTAAAATTGACTTTCGGTTTTTTGACAGTTCCACCTATCGGGACGTCATCTGGCAATATTTAGATTCGGGATGACATTGGCCTGACTCATAGGCGCCATTTTTTTTACACCTAAAATGGCTTTTCTGTCAAAAAAAAAAAATAGACAGTTCTGTCAAAAAAACTAACCTTGCTTTGAATCTATACTAGAGAAAATCGAAGCTTAAGTGTTGCCACTCGAGACAAGATCGTTGACGTTTGCACGGACCTCGTTTCACTAAAGTGACATTGACGTTTTGACATTTGACGCGTTCCAGTTGACAGCGGTCCAGGTAAGTGAGTCCGTCCGATTCACATACCGGTTTCCGGTTTTCAGCAAGATTTCGGGTCACAAATGTCAACCTGTTGACATTTGACATTTGAGGAAAAAAAAGAAGAGTTTTAATGTAAAGATTTCGTATTTTGTTGTTATTCCGAAAAAAAAGATTTTTTTGACAATTGACAGTAGTTACATGGCCACCTACTATGATTCAATTATTACAAGAGAAAAAAAAAGAAGGGTTTTAATGAGTGGTGACAGGCCATGGCCACCTATGATATGAGTGTAAGTAAAAAAAGAAGAGTTTGCTTTGAATTAATTAAAAAAAAAAGAAGAAATTATTTATGACAATTATTGATATTGCACACATAAAGAAAAAAAGAAGAGGCATACTTTCAGGCCTGGTATACACTTGAAAATGAAATTGCGTCTTGATTTCTGGGAAAACTAATAAAGAAGAAACTTTGGAAATTTTAGGATACAAAGAGGAAAGTCAGGGGTGTAT